AAGGTCTTTCTCAAAGCACTTTCAGCAATCCAGACTTCCTTAGAATAATGCAGATCAGCTTTTGAGGAAGTTCAACTCTAGAAACTTTCTTCTCTTGCTTTGCTATGCACAAAATCTGCTATGCACAAAAGCTGTTTAAGCAATCCAGACTTCCTTAGAATAATGCAAATCAGCTTTTGAGGAAGCTCAACTCTAGAAACTTTCTTCTCTTGTTTTGCTGTGCACAAAATCTGAAAGCTGTTTATGGCACTCCCTTTACTCAGCCTATGAAGTAGATTTTTTTACCAACTGAAAACCAGTCATTCCTACATGTTCCACCAAATCCTGCAGCATAAGCTAATGCAGTCACTAGGCTAATCAACAGAGAAGATTTTTAGCACAGAAATAAAGGCTTAGCCATGTGTACCAATGCCAGTGGTCAAAGCCGCCTTTGTGTTTCCTTTGCAAAGCACTTCCCAGATCCTGGTAGCTTCTGTGTGTTAAGGTGAAGCTGAAATCCCACATGGGAGAGTGAAGAGGAGGGAGGAGAAGAGGCAGGAGGACCCGGGAGCACCCTGGGAGCCGGGTGGGATGTGAGGGGCCCCCAGGGCCGCTCATTCCTGCCCCATTCCTGCAGCTCAGGCTTGAGTACCGCTGCAGCCAGGCAAGCACACACTCTTGCAGTGCCATCTCACAAGCATTAGTTGACTAAACGTGGGTGCAGCTGATGCAGCTGATGTCTGGAGAGCTCTCGGTGTTTCAGAAATGATTACCATGAACTCCAGTAATTTTCATATCATTGTTCATGAGGTTGCCTTGGGGAACATAAAAGTACTGCAAAAGCCACGTTCCTAGGATAGAGCAACATTCTTGCTACATCCATTTCAGTATTACCTGGCTAGAGAACTAATGCCATCATAAAAAAAAAGCAGTTTTCCTCTGCTGTCTCAGCAGTCATCTGTGTATGCAAACATGTAATTGAATGGTAATTTAATTAAATGGCTCTGCTGCTTTATTAGACTCTGCTAACCACCCCCATTAAGCAGCCATTGAGGAAAACACACCAAGACACTTACCTAACCCACATGGCCCAAACCCAAAAGGACGTTGTCAGGCCTGGGTAGTGTCCATGAGTTTTGAAAGGAAGCAACATGATGGCCTCGTATATCTTTGCATACTGGTTCCGATCTAGATTTTTTTAAAACTCTCATCCAAGAGTAACATTTCTAGAGCAATGGGTCTAGCATGTGCTATCGCAAGAGCATGTGCTTCTATTTTTGTTTTCTAAACTGAAAGCAGAGGTATTCTCCCCTTCAGTAGAGCTGCTCTGAAGGCAGAACCAGAGGTACAAAATCTCCTTTTAAATAAAGTAATTTAGTGTCAATGCAGTTTAGCATCACTGAGCACCCAAAGCAATCAAGACCAGCACCAAAATCTGGGGACCTTAGCTGCCAAATGTGTGAAAGAAGTAAATTAACACAAGAAGCCTCCTTTTTGATGGCTTAAACATGGAGAGGAAGCAGCTGTGAGGAGGCAGTCCCCTAGTCAATCTCCTCTTTCTCTCTTTTTCCTCATCAGCCAAATCAAGAAACCTCTTTGTATGCTTATGACTCCAAATGTGATCCAAGTCGGCTGTTTTTTTCCTTAACTTTACAGCAGTGCTACAGTGTAAACCACCCACAGAGTTTGCACGGGGTGTCCCAGCAGGCTGGTAACTAGAGCTTCCAGAATGAAGAGACTGTGTCTGTTCTGAAATCTTTACCAGTTTCTCTTCTCTGATGCATCAGGGTGGAGCTCTGATCCATGCTGTGAAAGGCAACTGGGAAGGGGACATGCCCATGTGTCCCTTCTCTGTGCGGGTTCCTCTGCTAGCACCTCGAGCTGCCTCTGTGCTGTGGCTGAAGGCTTGGACAAGAAAATATGCTGACACTGGGGGGAGACAGCAGCTCAGGTTTATTTCGGTTTCTTGTTCAGAAAAACAGATGAGGACCTTGAAGCCTGGTTTCTTACAGAAAGAAGCTTTATGCGATCAGTCTAGGCAAGCTTAAAAGAAGAAAAAAACAATTCATTTCAGCTGAGTTTCGGCAAGTAAGAGGAGAAAACAAGAAGAGAGAGTCTTGACAGGTGTAGTATGAGTTTGCAGCTTTTTAGATGGCAGAGAAGTTACATGGGGCTCTCTTATAGATGTTCCTATCCCAGAAAGTGTGTCAGGTCACACTATTCTGGTGGTAAAGAAATAAATTTCTTTACCATTACAGAAAATTAGTCTCTTTTGGAAAAAAAAAAAAAAAAAAAACATTGTAGAGATGGGTCACTTAACGAAAAAAAAAAAATGTAGAGATGGGTCACTTAACATTACACAATACCTCATTCACCCAGGTCAAATGTTGTCATTGCCATCAATGCCAAGGGTTGAAGACAGAAAAATTAACATGATTTCCCCCATCAGCACCTTGCATTGTAGCACAGTGTTTAAACAGAGAACCTGAAAATAGGGGAAGAACTGCACTGAAACGTTACAGCCCTACTTCATAAACTGGAGGAAAATGAATGTCCTTTTTTCATGAAAACATGGCTTGGAAATGGTTTTAGAAGTAATTAGTCAATAAGATGTCATGTAAATTCAGGTGATTTGCATTCCAGCTAGCTTAGAGCAAAGGGACATCTGCTATAGTTTTTTTCATCAACATACACTTCTGCATCTGCTTCTCCTCTATGCAAAGCTACTTTAATTATTTTACTCTAGTGATGCATCTCAGTCACATAGAGCTGAAAAAATGATTACTCACTTTGACATCCTGCAACGGTCAGGTATAGTGGGACTCATGACAAGAGCTGTTGCTAGCAAACCTAATAAAATAATACCTATTTAAAATCCTACCAAGAAGATATTAGACTCATGCATGCTATTTCAAATGTTCTTGAATTAGGCACACGTGATTTAGTAACATCCTCCTATTAGAATGTTTAGTCATATGTTAAAGGAATTGCTTGTCATCCTAAATTACCAGTTGAGTCAGAACTGTATGAGCCACAATATTTTAATTCAGTACAAAGGGTTGCAAGGTTTTGTAGAAAACATGATTTGTAATTACTCTTATGGAGCAGCAAAGGGGGAGGGAGGAAGGAAGTACAGTACTCATCTCGGAGGAGTTTGTAAAAAATACCAAAGTTCATTTGATTTCAAACTCGCTTCTTTTTCTGCCCACAGGCTTATATATGCATAAAACAGGACTGGATAGAAAAGGTTCATAAGCCGTCACTTTCCAAACAGAAAGTTGGGAAGAGTAAAGGGGCTTAGAGAGACCTCCCCAAATCAAGAGTCTAAGCTTGCAGTTGTGAAAACAAGTGGTAGAAGTCACTGGTAAGGCTAAGCTGTGATGAGGCAGCAGTCTGGGACTCTGTTCAAATTCTGGTCTCACTCATTTTTGGGTAAATGCAGACTACAGCAATGATGCCACAGGGTTTGTGCTAATGTGACTGCGGTTGCAATCAGTGCATGGCTGGTTCCCTATAGCTTTATGCCAATAGTATCGTGCAGTGTCATTGGGTGAAGGCAGACAGAGCCATTGTGAAACTGAGTTCTGCATCATCTGTTTCTTCAGAAAACCAAATTACTATGCAATTATCATCTGCCCTTGTGATAAAGAAGCACTGGACCTATTCCTCTGCTTTCACACCACTTCATTCACATTTAGTGAAGCAATTGCTGCTCTAAAACACTATGAAATTGAATTCAGGGCTATGACACCAGGCCCAAAAAAAACATTCCCGCCCCTCTCCAACCCCTCTCCCCTTTTCTCCACCACTCTTTCTGCCCTGCAATTGAGGCACTTAATTTTCCATTCCCTCCTTCTGTATTTCAAAAAATACACACAAGAAAAAGACATTTTTGGCTGAGGCATGCAAAGCTGAGAAGATATGGTTATTTGTCTCTGTGTATTCACTTCTCAGCTCTACATGCACCAATTCTTCTGAAGGCAAACCCTCTTATTAGATACATCTTTGCCACACCAAATCACAGTACACTTTTAGATGGTTTCCATGCATACTAGAAAATCAGTACAGGCTTTTCTCAGTGTACTGAGATGTTTTAGTATACCTATGAATCATCTCATAATTTATTTCTTTTATATTTTCATGGGTTTGATTCTCTGTCTTAAAAGTACACAACACGCATACAAAAGTATTGAGCAAAATAGGTAAACACTATAAAAACAAGAGAGTGTAGAGTGAACTCTGAAAATAATTAATTTAAAACCGATGCTAAGAAATACTGATTTGCATAATTCATAAATGCTCTTTTGAATTCTGTTCCATAGGAAATCATTGCATCTCAGGGCCCATGTAGGACCTAAACAAGAGTGCATCACATCAATATCATGGATAAAGAAAATCTCCTGTGTTGGAGGCCATATTTTGCTCTAAGAGACTGAACTTTTCATGCTCTGGAGCCTGAACCAACCAGAAGTCCTTAGAAATAAACTTTCTTTCTAACAAAATTTCTTTTACCTTTCATTATAGCATTTATTAATGACTGTTTTTAGAAGTAAGGTACTAGGCAAAATGGACTTTAGAGCTGTTATCAGATCTTAATATTTATATTATTGGGAAAGTCCATCTATTTGGATCAAATACAGGCCTGGCCTGCAGAATTCAGTTTGCAGGACAGTTTTTCGTCAAAATGGGGGATATTTACATCTGTGGCTAGATCTCATGATTCCCACAAAACGGGAATTTATCCAGAAGCCAAACTAACTCAATCCTGGGACTGCTTTGAACCTGTTGTTGTGATAAGCCAAATTAACTTTGCCTACTCAGTGCAGGTGTAACACATACCAACCTAGGCCTGCAATGCATCTAAAACTTAACATTCACATTTAAAATATTGTACTTTATTAGAACTATCGGCAAGACCTGTCAAGGTTTGCACCCTTGAAGGAAAGGGCTGGGCAGGGCTGGAGATAAGTGATTAAAAATCAGCCAAGGCCCCTTTGAGGTTTGTCTGCAGAAAGCCCCATTTAAGAAAATGTGTCCAGGTAGTAGTTTTCCCATCTCTTCGCTTTGTTGGTCGCTATCTTCCATTTGCTTGGAGTCATCTTCTCTATTCCTTTCACAATCAAGTCGCTGAGGAGGATGCACCTATAGGAGTAGGTCCTCTCAAAAGACCTCAGGGCAAAGCCCTGCCTGTTGTTTATAATAAACCATTTCAAAGACGACCAGGCGACATCTAGCGGATAGAGGTAGCTGTAAGATGAGGGTACAGCAAGAAGCTCATGGCCATTGGCTCTAGCAATTTCAGGGCAACACTTAATGCTAGACATGTAGGTGACTGGTGGGGCTGAAGGCTGAGTGCCTGGCTCCTGATCCTTGAGTTCTTTGGTCCCCACGGGTATCGGCTGCCTTTTCTCCCTGGTCACAATTACACATTTTCCATAGGACAGAGTCAGAGAATCACATAGCTCCTGAAAGATGGCTTCCTGCCAGTCAATGGACAGTTCATCTCTTAACAGCAGTCTGTACCTCCAAGGCACCCACCCTTGGCTGCTGCCTGCATGAACGAGTGTCCATACTGGCCAGCTCAGGCTGTCTTCCTCGGCTTTTTTATCTCCTGTTACGAGGCTTTCTGGAATATCCGTTTCTCCTAAAAAAACGGTGTTGAAACCCTTAAGCTGCAGTGCCCGCAGAGCTTTCAAATATTGCAGGCACCGTGTCTGTGATGCGGCATCAAAGCGGCCTCTGTGGATGATGTGCCTGAGGAGTGGGTTGGCAAAGCGCTGCATGTCCCAGGAGAGCCGTGAGCCTGCCAAGGAGGAGGTGGAAGCCCATGAGCTCACAAGGAGCCAGCCGTGTCACAGCCACCAGCGCCGCGGCTTCCGCAGGGCTGCTCAGACCACCGGGGCCTCAGAAAGCAATAGCCCCCTCGGGCTGAGTAGACTGCAGTGTTGCACTTCAAGGCTTCTCACATGGGGATATTGCTCATCTTAAATACCATGATTGTCCTCTTGGAGCGCCGGGTGGGATCCTTGGGCGAGCCACAGGCCTGTGAGAGGGGTCTGGAGGGACTGGGAGGTGGAGGAAGGAGCTGCTCGGGATCAGCACAGAGAAGTGACAGAGACCACTGCCCAGGCCAGGCTGTAAGAAATATCCACGGCTGGGGAATCTGAGGTCTCTCTCAAAGTGGGGGCTATCCCTGGTGTGGGAGATGAGTACAAGTAGCTGGCGGGGAGAAGCGTGTGTGGGTGTGTGCATGTGGATGCACAACAGGCAGCAGGTGTTAGGCTGGGGAAGAGCATGGAAGAACAGAAGCTAAGGACTATTTCGACCCGTCTAGTTTCTTACCTGCCCCTCCTCCTCCCTTCAGAGGCATGCGCAGGATTTTACCACAGGAACAAACTTGTCAGTAACATGACTGTTAAATTGCTCACACTCAGCTATAGCTATGAGGCCAGGAGTAAATGCTGGCAGCATTACCAGGCTGCCAGATGGAGCTGAACAGCACAAACATGTCAGCCCATGATGAAGGCCCACATGTCCTTGTCTACCACTGAAAAAATGATAGTCCATGGTCCATGTCATCCCCTCTTAAACATTTCTCATCTTACTGCCATCCCCCCAAAGCTATCAGAAACTCTGTGAAGTCAAAGTATGTCTGAATGGGAACATGGTCTAGAGGGCCCAACACAGCTGCCTGGTTGCTCTCCTTGCTCAGGCAGATAAGTGATCGTGTTAGCACTGGAACATGGCGAACCGAAGCCTGGAAATTTGGAAATTGATATGAGAAGGGTATACCCTAGAAAGAAGCCGGCATGGTTTAACTGTTAGCCAAGTACAATAAAGACTGTACATATGAAAAAAAAAAAAGTCTGCAGCACTATTCATATGAGAACACACCACAGAATAATATTGATCTTTTTATTATTAGCTTTTCTTACTGCAGTATATCCTTTTCTTTTAGTGTTAGCTACTTACCCTTAACAAAAACACACATGGGAATAAGCTGACAGGAGTAGTCCTGGAGGGAATTACTGGGTGCTTATTAGTTTTGAAAAGCACCCATGCTTAGAAGTCTACTAAACAACTGCCTGTAAAATTATCATAGTTTATAATTTCTTATGTGTAATCAACAAGGCATCCATGGCACTGATTAGAATTGTGGATCATAAGTCATAGTACTCAGATTGAAGGTGCCCTTTCCTTCTCTCCAAGAAAAGATGTAGTGAATTGCAAACAAATTAGAGCACATCATCATTGAGATCATACAAACAGGGCATGATCCCTTTTTTAATTCTTGCTTTTTAGCTGCCTTTTCATTTTGAATAGATACCAGTAGGAAATAGGGCAGGGAAGCAAATGTGATCATATCTGGGAAGGGTCTCCATAGTCAAGACTGAGGTAAGGAGTTCACATATCCTTGCCTACTTGCCAGCCATCTGTGGCTCAAGGTGGCCCTCCCACATCGTCCTTTGCAGACCTTCACCTGTGGTGCTCATGGGCTGGCAAGAAGCAGCAATTTGCTGCTCCTGTGCGCTGGCAGCAGCTCTCCTGCATGGGCACCTGATGCATGGCACCAGTGGGAGCTTTTTGTGGTGCAAGGACTGGCAAAGCAGCAGTCCCATGAATTTCAGGGTTTGGGCTTTGAGGCCAGGACTACCTGTCTTCCTCCACCTACCCCCAGCGTGTGTAACCATCACATCCTACAGCTGGGGTTGACTGCTCTCCTGCCATATGCCTGCGGATATGGAGAGCATGGGCACAGCAGCCCATGGGGCAGCTCACTGTGATGGTCAAACTGTCACCACCTTCTACAGGATCCATGTATGGGGCAGCTCACTGTGATGGTCAAACTGTCACCACCTTCTACAGGATCCATGTGTTATAGGTGGGCTGGCATCCCTCAATGTAATCCCTGCCTCGTAAAGAGGGCACCAAGCATTGGCAGATGCCCTGCCTAATGCACCTTGTTGTACCAAATTCTAGTGTATCACTTAACTAAACAACAAATTTACCAATTACTCATGAACTTATTAATGAGCTCATTAGGATACCAATTATTGGTTACATGCCAATTATTCATTTCAGTAGCAATTATATTATTAGGATACCAATCATCATTCATCTATATGCAAAATAAAAATAATCACAAATCCTTTATTTTGAAATATACAAAAAAACAGTGAAATTTGAAACATAATGACGTACAACAGGTAGAATATTAGGCAAACAGTAGAGGTTTCTGCTGTTGTTTTATATTAAGTGTAGTAGCTAAAATTAAGTTGCTAATTTTGAAATTAAACTTTTTAATTTTATCTAAACAAAATGTTTTGTAAGTTTGTTTTATTTTTCCCCTAAAACTGAGACTTCAGAGTTCTATTCTACAAGGATTTTTTTTCAGTTGTACATGGAATGAAAAAAAATTAAGTTTCTTTGCTCTAACAAATCCTCTACCAAGTTTAAATAATTAATCTTCCCTCCAACTGTTTAGTAAAGTCCTGAACATTACCTAAACTCACAGGCCAAAGTGGCAATTCTGGTGCAGAAGAGGATTTTTCAGAAGCGTATAACCTTAGCTCTTGATCCATGACAGACCCAGTAAGAGAAACACTTGCTGAAATCAAAGATGGTCTAAGGGTGGAAACACTGATAAAGGTGGAAACTTAAGAAAATGCATTGAAACAAAACTTAATACAACAGCCCAGAACATTTTTAAATTGGATTACTAGAACTGCTGGCCGTTTACCAGAAAGATCTGTGAGAAATTTTGAAAAAACTGATTAAACTTGATATTCAGCATTAGGGATTCTCTGCTGTCTAACAAAGGTTGAGCTTAATAACTTTACCCCTGAGAGTACCACAAAAATGGCTTCTACCTTACATGACCATCTATTGCCTGAAATCTGCAGGAGGGGGACAGCTTTGGGAGTTTTAGTCCTTTTTTGGTTGCAGCTGAAATTGTCCAACAGATGCATGTGTATACATCAGCATCTCTTTGAGGTAGTGGGAAAAACTTCTCCTGAGAGGGAAGCAGAAAAGTTTCAAACTGCTCTGATATTAGATCTATAGTTGTAGAATCGAGGTAGCTGAGGATCTTGGCAAGACTGGACATTGCTGATGATAGCATTTGTAAGCCTGCAAGGACCATGGGAGGGGAGGGAGCACATTGCCCCACATCAGCAGTACCTATAGGAGAAGACACCAAACCTTTCTGTCCCAGTTTATCAACAAAATCCAGATGAACAGTTGAGATGATTAATGGAAGGGAGTGGAGAGGGGGAATTCCCAGAAACTGAAGTGTATAGACTGTTTCAAGAGTGATACAGAAGCTCCTTCAGCACAGAGAGAAAAATGATGCTCAGATCACACTTTAAGGTCCCCATCCTTTATCCATCCAGATGCAATAAATCGTTCAGAGCCACCAGCTCCCGCTTTGCATTTGAGGTTTTTCTCTGCAGTCCCCTGAGTGGTAGGATCATGCTGGTGTTCTTGCCATGTGTCGGGCCTGGCATAATCTGATGGATGTGCTTATGTCCAGGAAGAGGAAAGACCTGTTGGGACCGTGGTTGGGATCAAGGTCTGATTCAAGATCTTGGTGTTGAGCCCCCACTGGATGATGAGCACAGACAGGGACATTCACCTCACCCCTACCCTTCCAGACTGTCTGTGAGAGCCAATTACCAAGGTGGGTATGAGTGGGAATGTGCTTTCCCCCTTGAGAACATCAAAGAGTGCACCAATAAAGACTTCTGTGATGCATTAGGAGTGTATTACTTTCAGAAGTTTGATTTGGAAGGAGGCCAATGACACTTCACATGGCTTTGGAGTTCACCGTCTAACCTGGGGCCTTCCTCACATCAGCCCTTTAGGAACAAGAGTGGCTGCTCCTGCAGGAGGTGAGATTTCACTGCCCAGAACCTTATGGACATGATGGAAGGCTGAAGCCTGTATCTAACATCCATGATGGAAAAAGACATCTGACTCTGCTTCCTGATGCTTCTGCATGACTGGAAAAAAAAATGATAAACTTAGTTTGCAAAGCCAGAAGAATTTTCAATATTGCAAAAAGTCATGCTAAGCCTCTTTTAAATGCTGGCAGAAATTGGGCAGAATTGATCCCTCTCTAAAATGGACTGGGATGCTTGCCTTCTTTTGTGAAATATCTACACCAAGAAGGGACCGTCTTGGAACTGCACGTTTTTCATACCTCCAAAACACCTCTCAATTTTAGATGTGAATAGCTGAGCTGGAGTAATTGGAGCGTGGCTACTGAGTGCAGTCAGGAGCTGTGAGCATAAATAGCAGATTCTGGCTCTCATCTAACACTTATTAAACCAGACATGATAATGAAGCCAAAAACAACGGGTTGCAAAACTAACTGAACTGCCTAATAACTCTCCGCTGGAGACAGTCTCTGGGGAGTCTGCACCTGCCCAAAAAAGGAGATGTCTGTGTTGGAAAGCCGAATCTCTGGAAGCAAGAAACATGGAGAGCCAAGATAGCAGGGTGGATTTCATCCTGCCTATCAGCTGAAAGTATCAGCCTTGGAACTCGTCTTACAAAATCAGACTTCGGAAATTCCCTTTAAGGATATAGTTTGCATGAAGTAAATCATTTGCAGGCAATTGGCTTGGGCTAAACAGTGGCAAAATACCATAATAATAACTCTGTATCATGCCAGCAAGGGATATATTAAAAAAAAAATAAGTCACAAGAGCAAAATACGAAGCAACAGATTTAGAAAAGCCAATTTAAGAAAAGCTAGAGGAAGAAGTTGGGGGGGGGCAAT